ATCAGCAACTATTTTATTTCTCTAATGAAGATTCAAGTCGTAAATGTTAATTACAATGACAAACCGATAATGTTAATATTTCAAGTATGACTTTATTACATTATTGCATTTCAAATATTATACATATTTTTAATGCCATTATAAATATATAATGTATATTTATCATTATACAAAATGTGTATAATGGTTGACACTAATAAATGTGTGCATCACGAGTGTTAACATAATACTAATGAACATTATTCAAAATTTTGATATAATGTATTTATTTTTACTTAAATGCCATCTTGTACAGTAGCAAATAAGTTTTACTTCAATCGCGTGTGAACCTTACGCGCACTCTTTTGTTTGCTATTTTAGTGGGGAGTGTTGTGGCAAATATTTGATTTTTATATTTTTATACTTAATATGGATGTTTTTGAATTTTCTTGCTCGCAGGTGCTCAAATAATTTCAAATTGATAAAAAAAAATATTTGAAAGTTTTTGCTCTTTATAATAACTTGAGATAGTCAGCACCACAACCACCAAAATTCTAGTTTTTTCTTTCCTAAGTAAATACTTATTTTATGAAATATATCAAATTAACAAGTACAATGTTTTTCTCAAAATTTTGCCCATGTTATTTCAATAAATCTTTGGTTGAAGTGCGGACTATCTTAAATATAATATTAAGAGTTAAAACTTGCAGAGTATTTTTTTCTATCAATTTGGAAGCATTTGAGCTCTTGGGAGCAAAAAAATTCAAAAATATCCATATCAAGGACCTCCTTATATATATACAAATACATTTATAATTTACAAAGACAGTTTGCTTGCACCTTAGCAGCATTTTCAGTATTTTCAACTGCACTTTGACAGCAATAAACTCTGGAAAACTCTAACTCTGCATAACAGCAAAGAAAATATATTGCAAATGTATGGTGGAGGAATCTTTCTCGACGGTGAAGAAAATAGAGGAGGAATTTGATAGATACAAATTTATGTATACATACATACATACATACATACATACATAGATACATATATACATTCATAGCAGTTTGTGTTGTGTTGATTATTTTTAAAGGTTCTAAATTTTTGGTGTCAAATTAGTTTTGTGAATATTGATATTAATGATTTTTTAGAGCTTCACACACTGCCTTGATTTATTGCTGTTAAAAAGTTTTTCTCCACGTATATATATATATATATATATATATATATATATATATAAATTCATATTTGTTGAAAATAGAACACTTCCCCAGCTGTTCGGTTAATAATACAACTAGCAGCCCTGTTTTGATTTATTCCATTTCATAACATATCGAACAGAAAATATACCTTTATATATGCAATATATATATATATATATATTAATATATATATATATTCAGGTATATTTGTAGGATCGTATTTCATATTCAACCATATTCAAAGTTTTCACTTGACAGCCGGACAGGCAGATCGGGCGCTATAAATTTCAATATGAAGAGATATTGTTTGCTATCTTATGTAATATCTGGATATATATATATATATATATATATATACAGATATTCTATATATTTTTCCTCAAACTTCGACTGAACTTCTGATTGTTTATTTCATAATCAATTGGTTTATTCACGTGTTTTCCCAAGACATAATGTTTTTTTTAATTAACTTTTTTTTTTAATTTCAATAATTATTACAACTGTTAAATCTAGTCTAAATATTATATCTAGTAATATTGATAAATAATAACATAAATTTAAATAAATAAAAGTGCAAAAGATAGAATTTACATGAGAATAATATCCGCAATATGATGATTTAATATAAAATAGAAGCAAATAATAATAAAAATAAAATTAATAAATAATATAAATAAAATTTCTGAATAATAAAATAATACTAGAAAAATAATAAAATTAACATAATTAAAATTTTTCATAGATTTTTATTTATATATTTTCAATTTAACTCGTTTAACAAGTAATTTTTAAGTTAGTTTAGCACTAAACCAATATGTATTAGTATGTTTCGCACTAACCAGATGGTCTTATGTTCCTCGAATTTTATCGATGGTTCTATAGATCTGATTCTTCTACTATAAAACATGTATTTTTCAAATAAAATTTAGTAATCTAGTTTTGGAATATTATAAGAATTAAACCTTTGGGTTTAATTATGTGCTAAAGTTAGTGGCGCCCCTTTGGAGTAAGGAAATAATTAAAGTTGAAGTAATGGCGGGATTGCGATCTATTTAATTTTTTTTTAGTTTTTGTAATTCATATTTACATATATACTGATTTTTAGCATATATTTCTTCATTGTCTATTTTTATAAATGATTGATTTTTTAACTTATCTTTTACAATATTTTATTTAATTTTTTATATTGTGAGTATAATTTTGGCACTGTTTATACAACAATTGATATTATATATATTACAACTATTAGTATTTACATTTTAAATTTTATATACAGATATTACATGGATTTTACACACATTTTTTTTTTTTAATTTTATTGTTATATCGATTGATTATATTTTTAATAATGTATTTAATGCAAGTGCATAATTATGCCTTTTCAGAAGAAATAATATAATTGGCGTCATTTCATTCTTAGATTTTTATTATGTAATTTACCTTTTATATTTTATGATGTTATATAAGTAAATATATACATACTTTTTCTTTCAATTTAGTGTACTCGATACTACTTTGTATACGATATTGGTTATTTATTTAATAATTAATTGATTTATTACATCTTATTTTTAATCACTTATTTGAACTCAAAATTAATAAATCTATGAATATGTTCTAACAAAATATATGTTATATTGACAATTTAACATATTTTGATTGGCTGGTAACTATTATTACTACGATACTTATATTTTGCATTTTATTCAAATATTTTTGACATATATATATATATATATATATATAATTTCCTGTTGAAAAATAGTTTGAACTCGTCGTGTCAACTTTTAAATTTATCGATATTCTTATACGAATATCGTACGATTTTCTTGTTTGATTTTTCCTAAAACTTATTTTCAAGTTATACGAAATTTATATATATATATATATATATATATATATATCATATTCATTTTAAATTTCCAAATTAAATTCACCAAAATGCAATTTTAATTAAATATACAGAATTATTCTTGCTCTTCAAATATATTTATAAATAATAATACTTAAATAAATAACATTCTAAATAAACATAAATAAATAAATGTAATTTAATGAAAACATGGAAAATATGCACTAGTGGTTTTCAATAAAATAAAATTTATATTTGTGCATTTGTTCGGCCTTAAATTTTTATGATAATTGCTATGATTTTTTATTGTAATATGCCACATGATTTCATAATAATGAAAATTGGATATCTTAACAATGGCTTAATTATTTTCAATATATAACTTATAAGGAATTTATGAACTTTTATAAATGTTTGTATAATTTCAAAAATTGATAGAATTACATGACTTCCTGCAAAGTTATATTCAACTCTTCAATAAATTACCTAGTATACGAATCGGTTAACAAATATTTCAATATTTAGTCGATTTTCAAGTCCAGTTTCTACAATTACTAGAGCATTTATAAGAGTATCTTCTTAACCTTTATTTTGTAAATTTATTTGTTTGTTTTTTTAATTTTATCTATTTTTATCTAATTTTTTTCAATTTTATTTACAGCCTCGCGTATTCGATACGAGATTACAAGCGGTAACATAGGTGGAGCTTTCGCTGTGAAAAATATGACCGGTGCCATCTACGTTGCAGGAGCACTGGACTACGAAACGAGGAAACGGGTAAGCACAGATTGAGAAACACAATCGATAGAAAATCATATTTATTGACATATATGTACATACATAGGAAATATGACACATTTTGTGGTGTAAAGAGATAATAAGTTCGTTCTTATTTTATTTTTGTAATAATACTTAACAATATTACAAAATTTATAACAATATTGACTGAACTATTAATTTTTAAACAAAAAATTGATTCTAATATTATTTAAGGTCAATATTATTCTTAACAATATTGACTAGATGAATTATAAGCATTTTTGATTATTTTCAATCCAATATTCAGCGACAATTCACAATTTTTGTACATATATAAATGAACTAAAACAAATTAATTAGAAAAGTTATATGAATAATTTATTTGTTGTTTATAAATTTGTGCTAATGTTTATATTTTAGTTTAACACATTTTATTTATAATAATTTAGCAAAACACAAGGTGGAGATATTTCATACATTATGTTTATTTAATATTAGGTTGTCAAATATCTCCCTTCCGCCTTTTTGTATTATAAACCAATAGCAAAAAAGCGGAAGGGAGATATTTGACAACCTAATATTATATTTCAGAAAGCTCTGGCTGTATAAATATGTATATATACTATATATACTTTAATAATGATTTTTCTAAAAACACTGATATATGTGGTGTTTGTATTTTACATTATCTTTATCATATGAATATTTATTTTATTTATACATTTTATAAAAACGATATTTATGTTTATTATTATTATTATTATTATTATTGCAGCCTCACACTTTAGTCAAACTTTACTTATAAATTGCGATTTACTTCCAAAATTATCGTTTCTAGTTTTCCAGACTAAATTTCTTATTTTCTTTGATTTTTTAGGTCATTACAAATATCATCTATATAATTTTTTATCCTTCCTTTATTGAAAAATAAATTACATGAAAATAGTAAAGTATAGGATGGGAGATGTTTTATATATAATAATATATTTCAGGATGCCCTAGCAGTATATATATATATATATATATATATATATATATATATATATATATATATGATATTCAGTTTTTCAGATATACATATATATATATATATATGTATTCAGATATACATATATATATATATATATATATATATATATTTAATGATTTTTCTACACTTTCAGAACTTATATTCCAGTTTTCTAGTTTATATTATTTTTCACGCTTTTTATTTCACTCTAGATTAACTTTTCAGCATAAATTGATTACTCTGAAACATTTATTATTTGCACAGGAATTTCCTTCGGGGTTAAAAACTAGTTGAAAGAGTGGTATATATCATATATATATATATATATATATATATATATATATATTTACTTTTTCCAGTAATATTTTATAATTGAAGTGGATTTTTGTGCATGATATTTTTACATTTCTTGTAACTTTTAAACCGTACGTTTAATATAAGTAGAATATTCCACAAATGTGTACAAAATTTAATAATCAATAATTTTTCTTAACATTATGTATGCCTACAGCAACTCGGTATACTTTAAAATGTTTTTGAAACTAGATGAATAATATCAGAGCATTTTATTGATCTACGTTGCATGTTATTCTAATATTGTTTGCAACTTTTAAGCCCTGCTTAATATTTGGCAAATTTATATAAAATTAAATAATCTATAGTATTTTCTAACATTACAACGCCCTAAAGCAACTCGGTATACTTTAAAATTGCAATTGAAATACAACACAATAATATCACAGTGCTTTTTTGAATTTGTCATGCATGTTAGTCTTAAATTATTTGTAACTTTTGAACTATTTGTCTAAAATAAATGATATATTTGGTAAATTTATACAAAATTGAATGATCTAAAATATTTTCTAACAATATAACACTCTAAAGCAACTCGGTATACTCAAAATCGCAATTGAAAACAGATGAATAATATCAGAGCGCTCTTTTGATCCATGTTGCATGTTATACTAATATCATTTGTAACTTTTGTCTAAACTAAATGAAATATTTTGCAAATTTGTACGAAATTAAATTATCTATAATATTTTCTAACATTTCAATACTCTACAACAACTCGGTATACTTTAAAATTGCAATTGAAATACAACTAAATAATATCACATTGCCCTTCTGAATTTGTCATGCATTTTAGTCTTAATTTTTTTTGTAACTTTTGAATTATCTGTCTAATCTTAATAAAATATTTGGCAAATTTGTATAAAATTAAATAATCTTGAATATTTTCTAACATAGTTACACTCTACAGCAACTCGGTATTCTTAATATCACAAATGAAATACAACAAAATAAGACAAAATAATAAAAAAGCTTAAAATTGCGTTTGAAAATCAATAAAAAATATCGAGTTTCGAGTTCCAGGGCAATTATTGATTGTTTTCCAGATCCATTTCTAAATTACATTATACATATCTTTTCCCCCGAACTCGATTTTGATAAAAAACAGATTGCCGCCTGTGTGTTTCTCCATCGTATTTTTTGTACATAAGAAAAGAAACGATCCTGATACATATAAAATATAAATTCTTCAAGAACAAAAGCCTAGGCTTGAGCTTTTGCGAGCTTTCAATTATATTCTAAGTCCTAGCAGCCAATTTTCTCTCTGAATGAAAAATGCAGAAAGGAGGACACGACTCTAATCAAAGATAATAGGATTTATATAAAATATATATACGTATATAGACTTTGTTAAAAAATTATATGGGGTGTAGGGTTTTTTTATTTTTTAAATTTAAAGCATATATCTGGGCATGTTGTGGCAAAATTTTAAGATTTTATACTCAAAAATTTGGTCTGTAATTAACTTTTTTCAAGCATAAAACTCTACATTTTACTCCATGTTCTATGTAGTTGTAGTTAAATTTCCTGTACCTGCCAGGTAATTAACCTTAATTAAATATTATTAATATTAATTTCCAATGCATAATATATCGAATATCAAAGCCTATACATAATCTCGTGACTTATTAATATGGTTTTGAGGAACCAACAATAATCTTAGGCAAACGTTGTTAGTCTAAAGCAAATAATACTTGGGTGGAGGATTTTGCTTCTGTACTTGGAAAACAGGGATGCCAAACCTGAATTTATAGGGTACACATAATAATAGATAAAGTACTTGATAAAATGTAGAACAAAATTTTTTTGCTGGTTTAGTATTTGTTGAACAAAATGTATAGGAAAATGTGGGTGTTGATGCACTAAACAATTTTGTAGGTGCTGTTTGAGTTTGATTTTTGAGTAACATATAATTATATAAGATTTTGTAAATACTACAAATGTAAATACAGGTTATGTACTTCAGAACGTGTTTTACAATTTTTTTTGTATCAACAATTTGCTCCAAAAAAATTATTTTCTTATATCGAGTACTGTAATATATGCAGTCTGATACAATAGATGTGTTTAAGTGCGATTTTAAAGTATTTATTTATTTATTTATTTATTCATAAGCAAGTCGTATACCGAGTTGCTGTAGGGTTTTATAATATTAGACAATTTTGTTTATTGTTTAATTTTACACAAATTTGTCATATACACCATTTATATTAAACAATTGGTTCTAAAGATATTTAAGAAACAATGAAGTGGTGCAATTTTTTTTTCTTGTATTTGGCTTGTATTACCTTGAATTCATTGGTGTGATACAAAAGTTGTGTTTAAGTGCGATTTTAAAGTATACCGAGTTGTTGTAGAGTAATATAATATTAGACAATTTTATTTATTGTTTATTATATGTATATTGTTTATTTTATGTATATTGTCATATACATCATTTATATTAATTAGATGGTTCTAAAGATATTTAAGAAACAATGAAGTAGTGCAAGATTTTTTTTGTTGTGGATTATCATGAATTCATTGGTGTGCTTTCAATTGAGATTTTAAAGTATACCGAGTTGCTGTAGAGTATTATGGTATTAGACAATTTTTTTGGTTATTTAGTTCCACACAAACCTTTCATACATATCATTTATATTAAACAATTGGTTTTATAGATATTTAAGAAATAATGAAGTGGTGCAGGATTTTTGTATTATATTTGTCGTGTATTACCTTGAATTTATTTGTATGTTTTCAATTACGATTTTAAAGTATACCGAGTTGCTGTGGAGTAATATAATGTTAACCAATTTTGTTTGTTATTGAATTTTAAACAAATTCTTCATATATATCAGTTATATTAACTAAATAGTTCTGAATATATTTGAGAAACAATGAAGTCGTGCAAGAATTTTTTGTTGTATTTGTCGTGTATTACCTTGAATCGATTTGTATGTTTTCTATTAAGTATACCGAGTTGCTGTAGGGTATTATGATATTAGAAAATATTGTAGATAATTTAATTTTCTTTATATTTGTCAAATATTTTATTAATATTGAATCATTTCAAAGTTACAGGAGATTTATTAAAGAAACACCAACAAAAATTTTCTAACTTTGGTATTGATATATAAGCATACCGAGTCGCCGTAGAGCTCTGCAATATTAGACAATATTATAGAGCATTTAATTTTACACAAATTTGTCAAATATTTTATTTACCTCACACTTACGATTTTCAAGTTACAATCATTTTACTACCACTGCTTCTCGTCGTCGTCAAAGTGTGTGTTGTTTGTATTAACTCAGGGGAGAAATTAACACGATGCTGACGGCTTTGGCTTACGCAAATAACAATTATAATACAATTTACCAGCAGTAAACAATCGACCTTAATCAAATCTAAACAATCGTATGTAAATCGAGAAGATTTGCCGAGGTAAAAGATTTTCGAAATTCATTAACCCGCCGTACTGTATGTAGTTTAATTGGGAAAGGACACAGTAGTGCATTTGGTGGGTGCATATTTATGTTGTAACTTCTAAAATACAGGTTTAAGGTATATAAAAAATTTGGTGGATTTGTGCGTAATTGAATTATCTATAATATTGTCTAACATTATGATACTCTTGGTCAATTTGGTGTACTTAAAAATGGCATCCAAACCTGC